GTTCGTCGGGTTGAGAGACTTCGGTTTGTGAAGTTCTTAAAAATAGTGGCGCAAGGCAGTCCGAAACATGTCCTGGGGCATAACAATGAACCCCCCCTTCGTGTCAGCCTGCAGTAAATACAGCCTATTTTCCTGAAAACAATGACACCACTTGGCTCAAGTTTGTTCCATCAGGTGATGAGAATCTTTCTTTGGACTTTGCGGAGGCACTGGGGTTTTCTGGCGAGGATAGAAGAACGGAGAAGGATTACGCTCACACAGAGGAGGTTAGAAGGTTGGTTGGAATCATCTAGGGGAAATTGAAAGAGGTAAAAGTAATTAGCACAGCCGGGGACCTGCGGGACAGAGCAAACTTGACACTCCATCCCGCATGACTCCGGCCATATGCCTCAACCCTGTTTCCCAGCGGGTTCGGCAGTTCGGTGTTGGAGTATCCAGAGGAAAATGGATGACTCTCGCTTGGGAGGGGGAGGGGAGGGGGTGCAGTGTGATGTTTAGAATAGAATAAAATAATTTTGTAGTTTCTTTGACTGATCTGTTAGCTAAGAAAAGGCAGAGGGGAAGGAAAAGTGGCTTAGTAGGGCGAGAGGTGACGAGCCATACTTTTGGTCCTTTTTGGTTTCTAGGCTAGGTGGAGCAAGTTACCGCCCTTTCGTGTACAGCCATTAGCATCCGTCCATCCGCCCAACAAAGATATTCAGTGCCAGCCTCCTGCCTTCGATCACACTTTCATGCCCTTGTGAGCCTCGAGCGTCCTTGCACAGGTGAAGCACAACCAGCGCTGCTGGGGGCCAGGCATACGAAAAATACGTGCCTTGCTCGTCCCACCCATTCAGTGACAAATAATTTTTTACTTTTATTGGCAGAAATTAAGATACTCTAACTGGCTCCCAGACATTTGCCACCCACTTTCAGCAACTTTTCCGATTTCAACTTTTGCATCTTGATGCCTTGCCTGTGGCCTGAAATGAAGGCTGCAAACTTTGGCTCTGTAGTCCAGAACTCATGGCTGTATTCCTGTGCCTACGTTTCTGAAAACCAGCAGCGACAGCGTGTCAACGAAATACTCAGAATCTGTGTACTACACAGAAAGCATTTTCTTATTTCTTTTTTTTTTTTTTGTGTAAATATATATGTGGCAGGCATTGCTGTCACATCAGCTGCCATTCTGATGGCCTTGCTGCTGGGTAGGTAACCTGCAATATTCATTTCGCACCACCAAATTCATTGTTCTCTCCAAGAACAAGTGTGGAGTGATCAAAGGCGTGGTGCAATGACGTCACGTGGAAGCCCCTAAAAAGATTTATAGAGCTTCACTGCAAAATTAAGCTATGCATTGACGAACGTTCCATCTCGTCTTGGAACGTAGTGCATGCAGTCTAAACCAGATACCAAAGTTTTTAGAACTAGCTGTTATCTAATTAAAAAGTTGTAAGTGATCTGTAATTTTCAGTGGGAAAGTGGCTGAATATATGGAGCTGAATGGTGCCAGTAACCGAGAACGGGTTGTCCCATTTTCCTATCTATATAATCAGAAAATCGCTTATAACCTTTTAATAAGATAAGAGTGAGTTTTGAAACACTGGCATCTGGTTCGCACCGCTAGTGCTGCTTGGGCAGAGCTCAGCAAGGCATCATATTTTTCTGCGAGGAAAAAGAAGAGCGTAAATTCTTTCGGGAGGCACGTTGTTTGTTAATAGGATTGCTAGCTGCAATGATCGGGTGTGGTTCGCATTTTAGGTTCGTAAATGTTGAGCACTCGTCAATGAAGCTTGGACCATACATTTGATATGTATGAAGGCACTGTAACATCTTTACGTTGCTTGCATCAGACCTGGTGCATTGATACGGATGCAGCATCTTCCAAAGTATATATCGCTCTATTGCAAAATATGTATGATTGCTCATTATGTGAAAAGGAGATGCAAAAAAAAGGGCAATCTTTTACAAACAAGGTTTGGGGGGGGTTATGGCATTTAATTATCTTTGAATCTTCATATTTTATTATAAAACTAATAAGGGCCGGTTTGTGAAATAAGTGAAATAAACATTTGGAAAAACTGACAACCCAGAAGTGCATAAATTAGAGCCATTTTTGAGTGCGCAGTTTTTCAAATGGTCGTTGTTGCTATCAAATTGTCCCCGCTCCATCACAGTCTTCTTTAGCTTCAATTTCTCACAAAAAAAATTATTAACCAATTTTTTTCTTTTTGTGGAAGAGTTACTACGCATCTACGGTAACATTGAAACACTTTTTTCTCTGTAATTTAGGGCATATTCACAGGAAGTGCACAGTAATTTTAATTTTTAATATTCCAAATTAACAACCAAATTTGACATGCATATGCTTTAGAATAAATGAGTTGCAACTACCGTAATATCCCGAGTCATCGCCCATCCCCGAGCCATCGCCCACCCCATTTTTTGGGCCAATATCGATTTCCGAAAAAACACCGAGTCATCGCCCACCCCTTCAAATACCCCAGCGCGGACTCTGCGATCCGCGAACACTCATCCTACGCGAATGACGCGGTCGCGGACCTTACAGTTGGAGGACGTCCGTGACAAAGTAAAACGAAGGAGGGAAAGACACTTCTTTTTGTTTACGCATTTCCTCCGTGAGCGACCCCAAAGTGGTCGTGTATCTGTGCGAAAAGAAAACGATGGAGATAACATAAAAAGAGTTTGTTAACGTAACCGCGGAGTGTTAGGTCAAAGTCTGTCTCCGCCGAAGTAAGGTCACCGCGAACCCGCTCCTTCTTCCCGCCCGTCGCGACCGCGGTTGTGCAATATTTTAGGCAAAGCCAAAGCGTAAATAAAGCTTTGCTGGAACGTCCTACACAGACGTTTGCAGAGCGTCCCAACCGTGCATTGATAGCCCGCCGTGCACGGACGCAAGTATGTATGCACCAAACAAGTTGCGCAAGAGCTTGCAATTGACAAGGCGCCCGACTTGGCCCGACGCCAAAATATTTGCCAACGCGACCGCCGGCTTTCCCGCTTTCCCAGCATTGCTCTTGGTCGCTTCTTTGGTCCGCTCGCTCGCTCGCTCGCTGGCTCGTTGCGCCTGGTCGGTTTTTCTATTTTCTTGTAGACTTTTTTTTTTTTTTTCACTAACTAGGAGAACATAATGGTGACATTCTTTCACGGAACAAACGTTCGCGCTATATGCAGATCGGCGGTGTTTCTAGCGCGTATGCAAGCAACGGACTTCGCTATAGTAAAATATTCTTTCGTGAGCATTTTCTTTATAAAACAATGAAACTAAATCCAGTTTTGAGTTTGATGTATCTCTTGTGCATCAGCGCTAGATACGCAGAAAAAAATAGGCGGTTTTTTCTGCTTTTTTTTCAAGTGTTCGTGCTCACCCACCGAGACATGGCCCACCCCACTTTTTTAACGAATTTCAGGTGGTAGGGGGGTGGGCGATGACTCGGGATATTACGGTATCTCTGCTTTGAAAGCAAAGTTGTACAAATTATGGCTTTCAGCAACTTTCATATCTCATTCCAGACACATTGAATACACCATACCATAGCTCAAATGGTGCAAAACAATGGTTCCTTTCGGACATTCGAAGATATAACCTTGTAACATATATTTCGAGTCTTTCATGATCTGCAGTTCGTATCCCAGTTTTGAATTGCATTCATTTATATATTGTACATATGCCCATTCGTAATAGAATTCTTTTTAGTGTTTTGTTTTCTGCTGAATACTGTCAAAAACTATGTAGGTGCTGGGGTCCCATCAGAAGACAAGTTTTGTCTTCTTTTATCCCAGCCCCCCAAACTTCTCTTTTGTCTGAAAATAAAGACTACATACATTGGAACATATATTTTTTTATATTTATAAAAAAACATGAAGAAACGTTTGTTAGCCCTTTGAAAATGGTGTTTTTTCCATTTTCATTTACCGTAAAATACCAAGCAAGCGCCCACTCAAAATTTGAAGATAATCGCGAAAATATCGGGGATGGGTGCAGTGAGGATACTGTGCATATTTTTTCAGGTGTTTCAAATTTGGGGTGGGCACTTAGTGCGGAATGGGCGGATGCACGGTATTCTACGTTATTTTAAAATAGGATAGGTCTAGCACACAATGTTTTTGTTCATTACACTCAGTGGTTTAAGAGGAGCAAATTTGTTTATTTTACTAGGCTCTTTTAAGTCTGTCGCCATGCCCCACTTGTCTGCAAGAATATGTTTCCTGCGTGTTCAGAGCTTCCAAAACATAAGGAACAAGCGATATGAAAACTCATACGAGACTTACATCAAGGAGATCAAGGATTATAAGCTGTGGAAATTCAATTATATTAAATAATAAAAAAGAATTTTCCTGGTGCAACAGTCTAAACCTTTTGAGGAAGAGGAACATAGCAGCTTTCCTAAGTAGGTGGATTCGAGGGTCCCGCGGTTCGACATTATCCGAGATTTTGTATCGTGCAAGTCCTAACTCCTTTAACTGTTAGTATTTGTACCGTACTGGCAATGCAAAAATGAGCAGGTTGTTTTGAGATACTTTCAAACTCTAAAGGCTGAACCGCATGTAAGTGATTTAGCGAGCGACGAGACGGGCGACAGCGACGAGAGTCAGCGGCAAGCAACGGGGATTTCTCACTGTTATTCATCACGTTGCTCCTTTTTGGATTTCTAGAAAATTTCGCTCAACACCTTGGTCGCTTGGCACCCGTCGTTTCATAGGGTCTGCCTTATCGCGCGACTGACCGAGCAACAGCGAAGCGGGTTGCCGTCGCTTGTCTCTCGCCTAATCGCTTACATGTGCTTTATTCTTGGGTCAGGTAACGCAGGCTGCTGCCCATTACTAGGCGCGCAGGCATTTCATTTCCTTATTCATTCATCATTGTTATCACGAAATGGCCAAATCCTTGGTGTCTCTTTTGTGTTATTCTCATGGGTGTCTGACTAGCTTGATTTGCTTGGAGGATGTACTGATTTTATTCTTAATTACTGTCATTGCCCATTGCATTTGGATCCCAGGATCTCAAGTGGTCCCGTGTGCGCCCCTCTTGATCTTACGAGACTCCCCACGAACCTGACCCTGGGCAGCACCTCGAATGGAACCAACTCAGTCCTCAAGTTGTGGTGAGTTTTCTTTTTTTCCACCTTCTCTTTAAACAGGACAGTGACTGCGTCTAGACTATACAATACAATAATATACAATCCAAAATCCATCCTTATTTACACAGAAGCCTCTGCTATTGCGCAGATAACTAAAAACAACAGAGCACACCAATAAAAGTATAAGTTACTGCAGTTTCCCTCCTTTTGCAGCTAATACTAATTCCTGTAATTTGAAAAACATATTTGTAAAACACGTAGAATAATACTGAATTCCTCTTACATACCGTAAAGGATACTAGAATTCACGACTTGCTAGGAAATTCTAGAGATAAGAGAACCTTTTATATGATGCGTTTTCGGGGATACTTCATTATCTATTCCTATTACATTTCATGGGTCCTTTTCTCTCTATTCAATTATCCATGTTTCTGCTATACTCTGTTTCACTTTATGATGTACCACAGTAAGGGCTACAAGCGCCAGCTTCTTGCTCAGGGCACATCTCGGCGGCACAAAATCTCGTGCAGTAAGGGCAGCTGCCAATGCTATGAGCTCGTGCTTCTAGCCTCTGCTGCGGTACAACATAAGGTGAAACAAAGTATAGTTTATTTTATTCTGTGGGATTTCATCATATAGATTTGAGTGAACAATTTCAATCACTCTTTTCTGCTTGATTCTTAGCCTGCATCACAGTGCTGAGTGTAAAAAATATTAGGAAAATGAGCATTGTGATTACTGCTACATGTTTCTTCAAAAGGGCTCGTCCTAAAAGTTTTGTGACATTTTGAAGATATTATTTCATTTAGCCCAGTTGTGTCGTCATACATAATGTTAAACACATTTTGTAAACTACATTTCACCAAATAAATGTCGACGAGGTGGCCATTTCGTGATTTTATGCACTGGGATTAATTGCTTGGTTCAAGTTCACAACTACGATTCTACTTATAATACTGAGATGCCAAGTTGTACCAATTGCGTGTATTTTAGGCAACCTGCTACACTTTGTGACAACCTTTCTATTCAGGTAAAATTCATGACTGAGGTAAACAAATGGATGTTGAGTCGTATAAACAATGTTTTAAATGCTAATCCCAATTTAAAATTTTTTTTTACTGTTGCATTAAAATTAAATAACGCTGTTTCCTATTTTTGTTACCTGAAAATAAAAGTGGATTTTACGAACAATAAAAAGGAAACTATATAATTACTCCTCTCACAGCGAAAATATTGCCTGTTGCCAAAACAATGCGGAAAATAAATTCTCGTTTTAGCAGTTCGAACCGGTTCGAAGTTGTTTGAGCCGTTACCTTTGCTTCCCGAAACTGAACCAAAAGCCGTAACACCGAACCTGACCTGAACGGATAAAAATTTCGGTTCGACACTCTGGTCACGTGCAAGCCGCATATATTTCCACCATAGACCTTTCGCTAAATCATCCAAGCACCAAGGAGCATGCGACGAGTGGAGTTGCATGCGCTGCATGGGCTCGAGTCTGCAGCAGTTAAAAGCAAAAACCTAAAAGCAAACGTCCCATCTTGCACCCGCGTTTGTGGACGACTTTTTTTGGTCGTTTACTTCAAATCGTTGACACGAGGAAGGCGAGCGTGTGAAGCGTCTTTATCTATATTCCCAGCATTCTCGTTAATGCCTGGGTACTTTAGCAATAGGTCTGTTACTATACCTGGCGTCGTCTATTTTGTACTACGTTGTTGAGGCTAGCGTAGCTTCCGCAGCATTCTCATTCTTTCCAAGCTGGCTGCGCATGCGAGAGGAAGCCACGTGTTCTCGGAGCAGTGCCTGGCTGCGGCACTGGAAGCTATTCTAGGCTCCAAATATAAGAATATAAATTAAAAAAATATCCTCTCATCCACCGGTTCTGAACTCAGCTACGAGAGTGGAAGGGGTTCGGTGACCGGATGTGTTGACGCACCGCTGCACGGATAACGTGGATCAACGCTCACGCTGCAGAACCCGGAAATCTGGGGTTTAATCCTCAATCCTGCCAGTTTGGATCTGGACGAGCGTCGAAGCGGCATGCAGTCGTGTGTCGCCACTGCGCGATGCATGTTAAAGGGACATTTACACCCACCAAAAAACTTCTTTTTTTTTTTTGCCAGGCGATTTAGTTTGATGTCAGAAGACTACCCAATTAATATTTTGCTACAGAGTCACATATATTTTAATAAAGCCCAAAAATGCAACTGATTGAAACCGAAACCTCCACACGGAGGTCGGAGAAATATAGAGGAGGAGAGTGTGTCGGAAGTCACATGGCGACACCCCCACCGTGCACTTTTTTCTTTTTTCCCTCAGTGTTTTTTTTGCCACGTGCAGCAGACGAACGGCAAGCGGGAACCGTTAGCCGTTCGATTGCTTTGCAGTTATGTTTGTTCCGCTCGCTGTTCTGCACTTTAAGATGAGTTGTACATTGAAGAGTTCGATATGAGTAGAGTGCCCGTGGTGAATGCCCGTGATTGGCTCCGAAAAGAATGCCCTCAAGATGTCGCGTGAAGAGCTGCCTCCCAGGTTCTGCCTCCGAAAGTGGCATTGTGCGGCCGAGTCTGCACCAGTTCCCAAAAGATCAATGGGATCAGGACCAATGGCTGGCTGCAATTCCTGCAGAACAGTTACAGGCGGAAAGCAGACGGTACCCGACTTATATGCTCCTTGCATTTTGTGGAAAGTGACTACATTGAGTTCGCAGGTGTCAGAAAGGGAATCCCATACCCTTTAGTTCAGCGACGTTCCGTTCACAACATTTATTTTTTTGAGTGATAATTGTAAAAAAAGAAATGTGCACATGTCACAAAATGTAGGACAAAAAAAAAAAATTGAGAACCCTTCATCTCGTGAAGAGGAAAGTCCAGTGAAGCTGGCGCTCTGGTAGAAACAATGACGTTTTATTATAGTGCAGCTACGCCAATCACGGTGCAGGCTCTAGTGGGCCGCAAACGTGGTCGCCGAGGAGCGCGGGGCATTGCGCAACATCGGGAGAGAGGGCGAGAAATATGCACAATTCTGGAAAGAGGTGGTGGAGAGGAGTATAAAGTGAGGCATGCATTGTTATGTTTGAAAATTGTTGATCTACGCTCGGTCTGTCGCCGGAGACGATCCGACAGAACCTAGCCACAGACAACTTCGTTGTAAAAAACAGTACGCCCACACTGTGGATCGGACCTGGGTCGGCTGCGTGTGAAGCGGACAACTTTCCACTGAGCTACTGGGGGAACTCTTACGTTGGTAGTAATGCAGCCGGTCGACTGTAGGTCGGAAGTTTGCCGCCGATTTCCCTCCAGCAAAGCACTCCCAACTCGAGGTCGGGCAGCACCACGCATTGGCCACATTAGCACCTTGTAGAGAAATTGTATGCATGCATATTCAACTCAATGTACGCACTTCAAGCTTGTTGTTTGTGTGAGCGATGTCTTCAGCCACGAGAAGGAGTGACGGTTTGGCGACGTCATCATGCAAATCGGCTTGGTGGTCGGGCGTGTCGTACGTAATGAACCCCAATTCTTTTGATCAGTCCAAAATTTCTCTTTCAAAGGAAGACAGATTCGCCGGCACGGGGAACGACAGTTCTAAAGTCGAGGTCCTGTAGTCCGCTGACATCGCCTTCCAGCCTGCGAGTCCATCTATATGTGATACGACACCATGTTGAGAATTATGCAGTGAACACACAGAATGCTTCCGGTTCTCTGTGCAACTTTTTTTCTTTTTCCATCAACGTAATTGCAGCTTTCTTGAAGCCACAAAAATGAGTTTCTTTTTTTTCTTCTGTTTTTAATATTGAGTGTGTGCTTTCAATGACACACGACTGATTAAATTTGGTGGTTGTGTCTAAACTTTAGAAGAAAGCCCGTGACCAGAGAGAAGAGAGTGACTCCAACTGTCCAGTTCTCAGTGATGGAAGTGCTGCACTAATTGCACCAAATTGAGCCACGAATTAAGGTCTACATCCTGCGCCAAAATGCCATTTTTGCTTAGAATTGTGCCACACCTGCGCCGAGATTGGCTTACAGCAAAAAAAAAAATATCTATATTTTTTTTAATTATTGGCGAAATATTCAGAGAAGTAGAAGAAAATGAAAATTTTACAAATATGAATTTCACAGCATCTCTACACACCATACTGTTTGTTTCGTATTAGTTCTGAGCACAGTTGAAGACTCGAACAACCGCCAACAGACATGCTAAAAGCGCGAGTCACGGGACATTTGCTGCACTTGATCGGTTTAGCCGATGAAAGAACACATACAAGGAGATGACGAATGCCACAATGTCGCGCTTTGATGCTGCGAATCAACCGGTCAGAGGCACTATTGCTGGGCATCAACCACTCTGGCTGGTTTATGTGCTGGCTGCTTGATGGCCGACATGGTCTAAATTTCCAGACGATGTCAAGAACTAAGGGTCCTGAGAAAACTTTGGAAAAGAGTAGGATTGCCGATGGCTGTGATAAAACAGAATTGTATTCCCGATAGGATCGCTTGATTATAAATTGTGCCACATGTTCGTGGCTGCAGAGTAGTGCAGCACTTGCGCCGCTTGCGTCGAGCTTCGCCGCTTTGCACCGGTGTGCTAGGAGCAGCGACTGACCTGGGGGAGTGCCTGGTATAGACCGCGATAGGCACGCATATTATGCTCGGGTTTCAATTTCTAATTGTGAAAAAAAAAAATGAGCAGAGAGAGAGAGAAGAAAACACAAATCTATATATGTTTAAATAAATACAGTAGTTACTGTAGTTCCCGTGCAGCTGTCGATCGAAAGAGCTGCAAACTTTGACAGAACTCTGGTTCCTACTCTGCAAAAGAGCAGTTTCATCTTTAAAGTGCAAGTGTAGGATTTTATCATATTTTGGGGTGGTTGTTTTTGCAGTTTCTGATATTAGAATTGGAGCCTTCAGTTTGGTAGGTTCATGAAACTTACGGGACGCATTTTATTGGTAGACGTATTAGCGGACATGCTGGTTCTTGCTGGCATTTTACAGAAATTATGTTTACAGGCTAAACAAACC